TCTGATCCGCACACCAAGATTGTCTTTGGTGAGAAACCTAGATTAGTTTATAGACGAGACCGCAACCTTAAAGACATACATGTCCGAAGCCGACTCCCACCGATCCACACAGCACTTCCTTTTGGGACTACTGTATGCTTATGCAGCACGTGCAAGACATGTCCTTTCGTTGTCCAGACTTCTTCGGTCAGTTTCCCTAATCGTTCTTTTCAAATTAGGGAACCTTTTACTTGTGATTCCCGCAACGTAATTTACACAATTATTTGCAAACGATGCAGCAAGGCATACATTGGGGAAACTGGCAGGAAGCTAGCTGATAGTTTCCGGAAACACCTCTCCGATAATGACAAAAAGACACTTAAACCAATGCCTCTCCATTTTAATAGCCCTGACCACAGAGGTAAAGATGATATATCTGTCATAGCATAAAATCTTGCTCTGGTGATCATACTATGCGCCTCGCTTTAGAAAATCGCCTCATCCACAGCCTAGGCGTTCTTAGTCCAGGTGGTATCAATATCCAACATACCTTCATCTAAATAGTTCTACTCTTTTGTTCTGGGACACGAAGGCGTCGATGGGAATGAAAGAGCTGACAGGTTGGCTGGATCCGCTATCACTACCGACGGTCAGCCTATGGATCATGCTGATATTATCAATGCCCTCAGAGAAATGGGAAGGATAGAGGACTTTGGTGGCAGTGAATCCACATCACTCGCCAGAATGGCAGACTTGGGGATTAAGATCGGCACAGCAAAAAACGAGACGCACACCAGACACGCCAGAAGACTTGTTAATCAACATAGAACAGCTACTATTAGCCATCGGACGTTGGGGTTCATACTGAGGGGAGGATCTGAACACCTATGGACATGTCCAGAGTGCAATGATGATAACCCAACTAACTAACTAGTTCTACTCTTATGACATTTTAAATATTAATTATTTTATTTTCTTCTCTTTTATTTTATTTCATATTATTACTTTATTCTATTTCTTATCAGTCAGTATCATTTATATATCAATAACATTTGTATTTCTTTTATTCCCAGTATTATATTGTATATTAAAAATACTACTGTTTATTATTTTTTTTGACTATATTTTTTAGCTATCGTTTGTCTTATTTTAATTCATTTATTCCACACCACATTTTTTTAAACGTTGCTCACGTCATCCCTTAGAGATCTACATACTCTCATCTCCTCGTTGTTACGTTTGTGTAACACTTATGTTTGAAAAAGGCCGCCCGGTCGAAACGTTACGTTGTGTTGTTTTGTGCCCGTTTTTCTGCTTCCCCGTTTTGTTGAGCTTTTTAGTCAAATTTCTCTAGAATTCCTTGTATTAGCTTGACTGCAGTCACCCCCATATTTGGGCCATGATGAGAGCGACGTTCTGCAAAAGAATCTGCTACATGAAGATGATTATGTGCATATCACTATATGAAAATAGACAACAAGGAAAAATAACAGCGTAGCTTCATATGTACAGTAGCTTCATATGTACGAAACGCAAGTGACGCGAAAATGAAAATAGCCTAGCACCAAATGCGCGAATCGCCAATGACGCGAAAATTATCATTTTCTCTTTCAACCACTGCTACCAGGGGAATCAAATGCAGAGATTATGGAAAGACTAGGAATGAAAAGATAATTACTTCTTCTTCTTCTTCTCTGCCACCTTGTACCTCGGTGAAGTCTCGGGAAAGATGTAACATTCGTTGATGAGCTCTGTCAAGAGCACTATTAGGATTGTTATTTTCTGTAAGGCTGTTCCTAGTGCCATCACTCCCTATTTTTCGAGGTCTTCCACTCGCTCTATACCTTTTGTAACGTTTTAGTTTGGCTCGCTGTGGCAGATAGTACCAGGGCATTCTTGTTAGGTGTCCAACCCATTTCATTTGCTGTTCTTTGATGACTTGTAAGACTGGCTTTATTCCCAGCATTCGTATTCTGTCTTTCCTTGAAAATCCTGCAGCTCTTCTAAGGCATTTCATCTCAGTCACAATTTTATGTTCATTAGAGGATGTAAGTGTCCACGTTTGACACTAATAACATAGTGTTGGCCAACAAATAGTTATGATAGGATTCACTTTAGTACTCCGGGATATCTCATTGTGTGTCAACATGGGAGATAGTTGCCCCATTACTTGACTAGCTTTGGCACATCTGGAGCTAATTTTTCTGTCCAGTTTTCCATCGGATGTGAAAATTGCTCCCAAATACTTAACTTTCCCTGTTTGTCCTAAAGCGTTTTTAAATTCAGTTATAAGAGAATTACTGAAAGAAATAAAACAAAGACAATTAAAATATTTTGGCCGCATTAAAAGACGCGGGAGCCGCAGTGGTGTAGCGGCTAGATGCTCGCTGAGGATCCCAATGACGTAGGTTCAGATCCTGACTGGGTCGGATTGTTTCCACAAATGAACTTGGCTCCCAGATCGACCTAGCCTTAAATGGGTACCAGAAACGGTCATGGGAAGTAAAGGCGGTCGGCGTGATGTTTACCACAACACCCACCGAATGCCGATATATCTGTATAATATAGGTCTAGCTCTATGTGCCCAGTTTACACCAAAACACATTAAATTGAAGGACCCTTTTCCGCGCATTCATGAGCATTGGGAATATAGGGCTAAATCTATATTTTACAGACAATTCGGCACTCAGTAAGGGGTCAACGTCAACGTCACGCCCGTTAAAACCCATAAAACTCTTTTAAAAACCTCATTGTAGGGAAAGATCGAGGATAAGCGATGGACACTGATACAAGTGGAAGGGACAACATCAAGAGATGCATAGGGAAAGCAGTTTGAAAGAGTGTACAACCAAGACAGGAGACACAGCTTGTTGGTGTTCCACTGCAGCCAGCCTTCATTATGAAGACGATATTCGATTGATTGACCAGGGGAAGTAACCCCCAGCAAATTCTCATTACATAAACAAACATGGCGGCAGCCCTTCCTAACATGTTGATCTTGAGGGGATTTTCGACAAAACTGTCGGGCAGTTTCTCCTCTGTACGTTGTTTTTCAAACATCTTAAATCCTCTTCTATTTTTGGTATTTAAAATACATTCAATATTGTATAAATACAAACTAGTAGGAAGCTGTGTGACTGTAATCAGTGCAGCAGACTCAGAAAAGGTTTCGGTTCGTTAAATTAAAAAAATTTTTTTTAAAAAAAAGTTTTATAATATCTTCTTCTTCCAATGCTCAGATCAGACCATCAGGTGGGTTGCCTCTATGAACTCGTATGTCAGTAGCAGGTCCTGACTGGTTCCCCATAGCTTGCTCTGCACACTTTGCTCTTTTATTTTTATGCCAGGTGTCAATGTCTTTTCGAAGTTGCAGATAGAGTGGGCAGGCCTACAGAATGTCAGGTGTTTGTGGTCCTGTCTGACAGGCCCACTGTGATGACTGTGGGGACTGTACAAATGCATGTGGTGGTTGAGCCTGCAGTGTCCTGTTCATAGACGGAAAATTGTTGTATTTTGCTTTCTGTTAATTTTGCTGATGGGGTCTTGTGGATGTTTACTGTTTGTTTGTTCTCTCCACAGTTTTTTTTTTTCTTTTGATAAGTATTTTATTTTGATTTCTGGTAATGAAAATGAATGGGTGTGTTGTTTCTCCTTTGTTCCTATTTTAGCAAGTCTTCCTGCTAACTCATTTCCTGGTATGCCGCAGTGAGCCGGGATCCACTTAAGAACGATTTCATTGTTTTTTGTGAGTTTGTATAGCTGGCAGGTCAGCTCTCTCTCTATGTTGCCTCGTGGATCTCTATGAGTCGCCTGGAGGACTGACATGCAGTCACATAGGAAAACAATTTTGCTGTTTTTAATTCTTCTTTCCTCGAGCACTTTGGCTGAATCAATAATTGCTTGCTGCTCTGAAATTTGTTGAGAGTCTTCCGGAGACGCATGACGTTTCTACTGTGGTCCCATCTTGCAGCATGATGACTGATTAAGCTCCTCCATTTTTGTCTGCTCCCTCCAATGATCCAGTGTATTGTTTGTCCATTTGGGTTTTGGATAACAGTTGTAGACATGTTCAAGGGTCTTTGCATACAGTACTAGGTCACATTCTTCAGCCTTTTTGTCTGTGCTTAAAATTGTTGTTGTGACTGTATAGTTAAGCTGTAGGTCAGTGCTGTATGCCTGAATTATTTCCCTTGTTAAAGGATCTTTGAAAAGGATGTTACGTTTTTTTGTTTAGTACAGTTTTGATAGATGGTGAAAGCTTTGTCTTTTCAGTCAGTTTTTAGTAAAGTAATCTGCTATTCTGTGCATGGGGTTGTTGTTAATGCGTTAACATTTTTTTGTTAGGGTAAGCACCTTTTCTTTCACAATTACACATAATCACCAAACACTGGATTATGCAATAGGATCAGGGCTCATACTGGTCAAACCTATCTGCACCTCTTCAGGATCACCAAAGAAACATTTAGGGGCTTGGCCAGCTTCGAAAGGATCATTTCCTTCAAAGTCGGAATGCATCTACCTGAGAGTCGACGTACCAGCAGTCTGTATACAGATAAGCCACATCTGTATATTGGATATGCATGCAGAACTCTCGGTACAAGGAAGGATAGATACAGAGAGAGAGAAAAAAAAAAATGGACCTAGAAAACAAAAACTACTAGTAATAAAATAAGACTAGTAATTTGCACCCAGAGCAAGATTTATAGGCAGTGACACAAACTGCATCACCTAGGTATTTGGGACAGTTAAAAAGCTTGTTTTGGAGCTGCTTTGTGATTTTCACATGGTTATGAAAACAGTGTTTTATTTGTATTATAGGGCATGGTGTCAGAAATAAAATATAACAAATAAAATAAAACTAGCAGTAAATCAAGACTAGTAGTTTGTACCCGAGCAAGAGTTGTAGACAGTGACAGAAATTGCTTTACCTAGGTATTTGGGACAATTGAAAACCCAGTTTTTTGGAGCTGCATTATGGGTTTTCATAAGATGCTCACAAAAACAATGTTTTCTTTTTACAGGGAACAGTGTCCAAATCTTCCTGCAGTACTCCTTTTGTAATCAGAAGGCACTATGCTAATCTCACAGAAGAACAGAAAGAGAGACTGTCTGAAGGTCCTGGCCTTGAAGACTTTATTTCAGGTGATGTTGAAGAGTACAAGGGTCATGAGGGCATCAAGCGGGTGAAAGGTGAAAGGTAAGATTTGAAACGCATATAGAATTTTTATCGGTCATTCTTCTTTTGCGTTTTGCACTTGTTTAGTCTGGATATAGTTAAGGAAAGGAGGAGGCTAGATTATTTTTTACTCCTGATGCTGTCATAATGTAAGTTTCACTGTAATCTGTCCTTGTGGCACTAGATAGTGAATTTATCTCTCATATGGCACTGTATAATCAAATCTTGTATAGTTCAGAGACATGGATAATGAACAGGCAGTTTGAAACTTGATTTGAGTCTCTTTTTGAAGATGTAGATACTCTGTGTAATTGTGTAGGTCATATTTCAACGACAAATATTAAAATGAACAGTTCACTCTTATGTAAACAGAAGAATTAACAATCCTGAACTTTTCACCATTAGGCTTAACAGTGAATTGAGAGAGACCATGTGATGTGTATTTCAGTGCAATTAATGCAGTTTTTGTGCTTCATTATCATCATATAGCAGGTCCTTTGCAGAATGTCGCTCTCATCACAGTCTGCCTGTTAGAAACTCGTTCTCTCGCCAGCTATCCCGCCTCAGGTACTTTATACTCAAGGAGTCACTTATATCCTGTGCCCATCTTCGTGTCAGTTGGCCCCTGCCCCCTCCTTCCTGGTACCATGCCTTCTGCTATAATTTATATGTTGATTTATTGCTGTAGCAACGCACTTGGTGAGATACAGCAAAATATCATCATCATCAAGGGCCCTGCCAGCAGGCATAGGTGTTCATGCATCTCCTCAGATCTTGGTGTTCTGGTTCAATTCCTCTATGCCACTGTCTTGAGCCATTCACCATCATTTCTTTTGGTCTGCCTCTGCTTCTTCTACCAGTGATCTTTCCAGTCGTCACAATATTTTCCAGTGCTCCTTTTCTCATCACATGACAAAGAACTTTGTCTCCTTCTCATTGTTGTATATAATGTTCTACTTTCATTAGCCATTTCCAGGCAATCATTGTTGGTTATTCTGGCAGTCCAAGGTATTCCTAAATATGCCTAGCAGTAAAATGTGCAAATTTATTTGTTTGTGTCCGCTTTGATTAAATTAACAAAAACAGTTAAAATAGAGGGGGCAGTGAAGAGGCAGAGAATAAAAGAGAGTTGCTGAAAAAATAAAAAGGAAACAGTTGAAATATTTGAGCAACATTGTAAGATGTAAGCGGCGTCCGTGGCTTAAGCGTTGCGAGTCTGACTCGTAATTCCAACCTGCCGCGATCGAAACCCTCTGCTGGCTGAGTGGATTTTTATCATGGCATGTGGCGTCACAGGTAGACACAGCCTAAAATGGATGGCTGTCCTGAAGAAGTAAAGACGGCTGGCGTAATGCTGACCACATTACCCACCTACTGCCGATGGTCTGTAAAAATAAGCTCTTCTCATATGCCCGATGCGGCTAAAGGCGTGAAAAGGGATCTTTACTTTTTTATAAGACATATCACTCTTTAGAAAGAAACCATCATAATTATTATGTTGTGCCATTATATGTCACTTAAGGTTTGCAGTCCAACCTCCATACCATTCTCTGCCATGCAATCAGTTCAGTATCATGGATGGAATCCACTTCAGCAGCTTTGGCCTCTCTCATCAACATTCTTCTTAGGCGTCACCCTCCTTGATGACTTTGTCTCCGATTTTAATGCCTGTTTGGTGATTCTCTGCTGGCTTCTTCTCAGGATGTGTCAAATCTAGCGGCATCTTCTCTGTCTTATAACTGTCGATACCAGTGGTACAAAAGAAACCATACTAGAGGGAAAAGTTAAAGGCAAGCAATCTTAAGGTAGACACCGATATAAATAGGAAGATAAGATCAGTAAATGGACAGACAGAACTCTCAAAGAGTACAGAGTTGGAGATTCATAGCAGCCAGCCTTCATCATAGAGACAGCATCTGATTGATTGTATTATGTAATGCTATTATTATTATCAGCTTCATTCCACATCACGTATTGATTTATGTAATAGAGAATTCCCAATGAGGGTTCCAGGGCCCCAGTTGGTGGGGGGAAGGGGGGGAGAATAGACCCACTGCGTAACTAACAAGTTTCCTTCAAAGTCGGAAGGCTGCCTTAGACAGGGTCTTCGTACAAATAAGCCAGATCTGCGAAACGGATGTGTACGCAAAACTCAAGCCATGGAACACCATCAGAGTCAAAAAGTGGATGAACAACCAAAACTTTCCGCTGGAGTTACAGCCTGTGAACACTTAAAAAAGAAACGGTAGTGAATGTGACTATGTTTGATAATCTCATACATATACATTTGTATGCATTTTCAGATTGAGGCTTCCAGAATGGCTGAAGACTGAAATTCCCATGGGCAAAAACTTTGCATCCTTGAAGAAGTCACTCAGAAAACTTAATCTGCATACGGTCAGAAATTTATTTAACTGAAATACATTTTTTTTAAAACCTCAGTAAAAGATTTAAATGAGCAGTATAAATCAAATATTTCACGAAATTTTCTTATTCATGTTTACCATCTGTAAACTCCAGCAAAAGGTCTTTGTTGTTTGTCTTTCGTCTGAAACCAGGACTTAAGTGTTGAATACACATCTGTTTTACAAATCTGGCATATCTGAGTGCAGACTGTTAGTGCATCTAAAGTTTTAGGTTTAGGTTTAGACAATGGACCAAGATCTCTTGGCCTCTCTCATCAACGTTCTTTTTTAGGGTGTCCTTTGAGTGTCCTCGCCTCCTTAATCACTTTATCTCCGACTTTAATGGCTGTTTGGTGATTCTCTGCTGGCTTCCTTTCAGGATGTGTCCAGCGTAGCACCGTCTTTTCTATGGTATAACTGTCGATACCAGTGGTAAATATATAAAAGAAAACTTTATTGGAAGCTGTGGATATGTGGTTTTATAGACAAATGATGAGAATACCTTGGACAGATAAAATTAAAAATAAAGATGTCTTGAAAGAAACTGGCTCACGAAGAGAACTGATTGCCCAGGTAAGAAAGAGACAATCTACATTCTTTGGTCATGTGATAAGAAAGAGAAAACTGGAGTACATTGTGACAGTAGGAAAATTGGATGGGAGGAGAGGTAGAGGAAGACGGAGAGAACAGATGCTGGACAGTTTGACATCATGGCATGGAAGATCATCTGTGTCAGAGTTGACTGAAAGTACACAAGACAGAAGGTTGTGGATAGACATGACTACCAACGCCACACAGCATGGACTCTAAAAAGAAAAAGAAAACATGAGTCAGAAGGCTGTGGATACACACAACTGTAAGAAGAAGAAGTGGTATAAAAGCATTTTGCTTTCTGTTGTAATATTGTGATGTTATCTGTTTCTTTGATCTGCTAGAGGCATTAAGAAATGATTTACTGTTGTATTTGCAGGTTTGTGAGGAAGCCAAGTGCCCCAACATTGGTGAGTGTTGGGGTGGGGGCGAACATGCAACAGCAACTGCAACAATTATGGTATGTTGAAATGTATATCGCTGGCACTGTGCCAAAGTCAACAAGTTAAATATTGAAGTGTACATCTCATTGGCACTTTGTCAGTCATCTAAGTGAATGTTAAAGTATTTATTTATAATTGGCCATGTGCCAAAGTCACCTGAGTGAATACTGAAGTGCATCTCATTGGCAGTTTGTAAGCTACCTTAATGAATGTTGAAGTATATATCGCTGGCACCAGGTAAAAGTGGCCTAATGAAATTTTGAGGTGTATATTATTGGTTCTGTGCTAAAATCCCTAAGTGAATGTTGAAGTATATGCCATTGGCCACATGCCAAAGTCACCTAAATGAATGTTGAAGTGTATGTCTCATTGGCAGTTTGTCAGTTACCTAAGTGAATGTTGAAGTATACATCATTGGCTATTTGCCAAAGTCACCTGGGTGAATGTTGAAGTGTACATCTCATTGGTAGTTTGTCTATTACCTAAGTGAATGTTGAACTATATAGCATTGGCTATTTGCCAAAGTCACTTGAGTGAATGTTAAAGTATATATCATTGGCACTACATAAAGGTCACCTGAATGAATGTTGAAGTGTACATCTCATTGGTAGTTTGTCTATTACCTTAGTGAATGTTGAAGTATATATAATTGGCTCTGCAGCAAATCACCTAAATGAATGTTGAAGTACATATAGCTGGCACTACACAAAACTAAGTAAATGTTGAATTATATATACACCAGTATTGTTGGCACTGTGCCAAAGTCAGCTAAGTAAATGTTGAAGTATATATTGTTGACAAATGTTGAAGTATATATTGTTGACAAATGTTGAACTATATATTGTTGGCAAATGTTGAAGTATATATTGTCTGCAAATGTTGAAGTATATTTTGTCTGCAAATGTTGAAGTATTATATATTGTTGACAAATGTTGAAGTTTATATTGTTGGCAAATGTTGAAGTTTATATTGTTGGCACTGTGTCAAAGTCACTTAAGTGACTGTTGAGTAGATATAATTGACACTATGCCAGAGTTAGCAAAGTGCAACTGTGGTGATTTTTTTCCCCATGTGCATTTTTAGGCTGTTATCATTTTACAATATGCCTAAGGCACACATGTGATTTCCTACGCAAAATAACTCCAAATGAAGTATTACTTTTTAATGCAACAGCACAAATTTCATTTACCACAGTGTGATTGATTTTTTTTCTGAGATTTTTTCTCAGTGTTCAGATGTGATTTTCTCAAAAGAAAGATTTAGCAATCAATTGACTTTGGAGTAGTGCCGATGTGTAACAGTTAATGCACTTGCACCTTCTCCTCAGGATTCTGCGTCTATCCCTAGCTTTCCTTTTGGCTTGTTTATGGTTTTGCTAGGCAATTTATGGTTTAATATTTCTTCTTCTTCTTCTTCATAGTGTTCACCAGCTGGAAACTCAGGTGGGAAATTCTGAATGTTCTACTTCTGAACTTTGTCTGACCCAAGAGCTTGAACTTTGCGTGCACATCCTTTTTACGGATGTAGCTTATTCATATGCAGACTGTTGGTCCCTCCCCCTTTGCTTAAATACAGTCCAAGTTTGAAGAAAACACTGTTAATTAGTTGCCTTTTACTACCTGCTTGTTAGGGACCAGTGGGTTTCATCTTGTTTTCCCCAGAATGGCACCCCAGAACCCGCACAGGAAGTTTGCAATAGTATACCATTGCTTTGTGAATGATACCGTGCTCATACCGTTGTCCAAATCAACATAAAGTAGTCTTCTACCATGTTGAGATTGTTAAACTGTGTTCACAACGCCTAAGCTACAACCACTAAGCATGCACCAGCTGCACACACACAGATATATACTTGATAAAGTAGGTTAGCTTCATATTTCAGTGTTTTAGGAAGATGCTGTTTAGCCAGGCATTCAGGTTAGTTAGTTAACAAATAAGAATTGAGAAGTAGAATCAGTTTTATGCTGTTCTTTGTTAGTTTTCTGGGTAAATCTCTATGGCCTGTTTTCTGAAACCTTGCAGGAGTGTGAACAGACAAGTGAATTTGTTGCTTCAAGAGCACCAGTCTATATAACTATCAGGGTGGACAAGGATGAGACAGTAAAACACTCACAATCAACAACAGATAGATAATGAAGGCTTATCTTTGAAACCCTTTTGATTGAACACACATCGGCAAATGAAATAACATATCTAACAATGGCTGAGTTTGAATTTAAAAGCAGTTCAAGTTTAGAATGATGTATCAGCAACAGATGTACAGATTTGATGTATTTTATTGCCAGTATTTAAAAAAAATATATAAATAAAATAAAATCCCAATCTGCACAGTCCATAGCAGCAGCACTGACCATGAGGCCCTAAATCGGCAGATGTAAAGACACCCCCTCTCCCCTCCCCCTTCCACACTACAAAAGTGGTAAATACATGCAGTATCTGGCAGTTTTTTTTTTTTTTTAATTTTTAAAAGTCATTAGTTTAAGGAGCAACCAAAAAACCTAGACAGAAATAACAGTCCCCAAATTGTTCATTGAGTAGCAACTGCGTGAACAAGTGATATTTATTCCTAAGCCCAGAAAATCACTCATGATAGACTCCAGGCAAATCCTAGAATAATAGTTGTTTTGGCTTTCTTCTCCACTTAATTGTATGTTTAGAAAATAGGGGCTATGGTGATGAAATACTTAGATTCTCAGAATACCATAGGTCAATAAGATAAGAAATATTGAATCTGGACATCCTGAAAGATCCGAACATCAAGGAAGTTTGCTGGTAAACATTATCTTGTCTTGGAAACGGAAACATTTTTGCTACATCAGATGTCACACTGGATTGGAAAGAACAGGATCGGAGGGCATGGTACGGGACAAGAGAGCAATGGGCTAACAAGCTTTGAGGTTTGAACAACAGATCAACTTCATGGCACACGGGTGTAACCCATAAGTGCTCCGTTCTTCTTCTAACTCAAGTCTTATTCTGAAGAAGTTCAGCACACTGCACAGGCTCTGTAGCACCGGCGAGGATCCTGAAATACTTTGGGTCGATTTTTAACTCAAATTTTTGCCCAGGCAGCGTCGTTAGTCTACTATTTTCAATTTCCAACTGCCAAGGGATTTTGTTACATGCGCAACAATGCACACGGGCATCTGATGTCACTACTCAGAGACCAGAGGCAATTACTAGAAGTCCAAGTCCACTTGAAAAAATCACAGCTTTTACAAGGGATTGAACCCGGAACTTCTAGAACTCGAGGCGGACACCATGCCTGGAGACCACGCAGCTCCCTTCAACTAGCTTTAAGAGGACATAATTGACACCTTAGGCCGGTAAATTACATGAAGCAGGAGAGCTGGCGAGGGACAGAGTATCTTTCATGAAAGTGACATTCTGTAAAGGATCTGCTACATGATGATGATGAATTTTATTTCTGTATAAACATTACTGTTTTTTTAAAATAATTTTTGTGTTCGTTTGTTACCTGACAACATTTATTTTTAAAACTTGATCTGGCTCTTGTTTACTTTATATACTTTCTTCGTATTCAAAATGGATTGTCTGTCCTGTCAGGTCCTAGGAGACCACTGCACCAGGGGTTGCCGCTTCTGCTCAGTAAAGACATCTCGTAACCCGCCCCCACCTGACCCACTGGAACCTGTGAATACTGCAACAGCCATTGCTGAATGGGGACTTGACTACGTTGTTCTTACCTCAGTAGACAGGGATGGTAAGTTTTATATTGGTCTATAAGAGTAGATAGGATGGTAAGTTTTGGATAGATTTACCTCGATAGACAGGATGGGAAGTTTTAAATAGGTTTATCTTTATATAGGCTTAATTTGATAGATAGGATGTTTTTTTGTTGTTGATAGCTTTACTTCAATAGATAGGATGGTAAGTCTTGGATAGGTTTACCTCAATAGATAGGATGGGAAGGTTTGGATAGGTTTATCTCTAAATGGGTTTGTCTTGATAGGATGTTTTTTTGTGTATCAATAGATAGGATGTTTTTTGTGTGTATCAGTAGATAGGATGTTTTTTTGTGTATCAATAGATAAGATGATAAGTTTTGGATGGGTTTATTTTGAAGATAGGATGGTAAGTTTTTGATACGTTTATCTCGATAGATAGGATGGTAAGTTTTAGATAGGTTTATCTCTATATAGGTTTATCTTAATAAATAGGATGTTTTTTTTGTGTATCACGATAGGGTGTTTTTTTTGTGTATCAATAGATAGGATGGTAAGTTTTGGATAGGTTTATTTTGAAGATAGGATGGTAAGTTTTAAATACGTTTATCTCGATAGATAGGATGGTAAGTTTTGGATAGGTTTATCTCTATATAGATTTATCTTGATAGATAGGATGTTTTTTGTGTGTATCAATAGATAAGATGGTCAGTTTTGGATAGGTTTATTCTGAAGATTAGGATGGTAAGTTTTGGATATCTTTACCTCAATAGATAGGATGGTAAGTTTTGGCTAGGTTTATCTCTATAAAGATTTATCGAGATAGATAGGATGTTTTTTTTGTGTGTGTGGATATCTTTACCTCAATAGATAGGGTGGTAAGTTTTGGATATGTTTATTTTCAAGATAGGATGGTAAGTTTTGGATAGGTTTATTTTTAAGATAGGATGGTAAGTTTAGGAGAGGTTTATTTTGAAGATAGAATGGTGAGTTATGTAGAGGTTTACTTCGATTGATAGATTGGTAAGTTTTGTGTAGGTTTACCTCAGTAGATAAACAGAATGGTTAAGGTTGGATTGATATGAGAGTGAAGGAAAGTTTTAAATGGATGGTCTTTGGCTTACAGAGATTGTAAGTTTTGAATTAGTTATATATTTATTGAAAGAGCTGGTGACAGTATGAAGACTGAGCCATGAGGTAAATCCCTACGCAATAGTCAGGCCACTTACCTTTGGCAGCTTTATGTAATTGAAATACTTTATTTTATAATCAACCTGTTGTTTTCTGAAGGTGAGAACTTGTAATATTGTTAAGTGATTGCTGTGTGGGAAACAGTTGTAGTAGTTCTCCATGTTTCTGTTCCATACAGCAGTTGTGATTTCATGTTTGAGTTTAATACCAGTTTACTCTGTTTCCCTCAGATTTACCAGATGGAGGAGCTGCCCATTTTGCCCAAACTGTGAGGGAAATCAAATCAAGGTGAGGTCTTTGGATTTTATGTGGCACTTTTGTATAACAGGCAGAACATATTTGAGGAGCTTTATTCCTAATTGATGAAGTTGCCTTTTTTTTTTTTTTTTTTCTGTTTGAAAGTTTACCCTTTCAGGATTGCAGTCTGTAGAATTAACATCTCAAGGATGAGAATCAGACCGGTACAAATCTCAGAAAAGCCTGTGCCATATAGCTGTATATCACAGCTATATTGGGGCACCACAAAATGATTACAGAGTAACTTGTAGTCCAGTGTGGGGTGGGTGTGATTAACTTCTGTTCTGTTTTTTCTTTCCTTCTTTTGATCTTTACTCCCAAATTCAGCATAGATCCTCAGCCAACTTAAGTTTGCTGACCCCATTTCTTCCCCAGCTTTTTTATTTGATTCTTTAATTCTCCTTTCTATGTACTGTTTTGTCTACTTATATTCTTTATACCCTGTGTATTAAACAAGAACATTCTAGTTATATCATTATGTGGTTCCATTAAATCAGAAAGATGTCTTGTGTACCTATCATATTTATCTCAGTAAAAAAAAATAGAGCTAGTGAAAACAAATGCTCTTGGAACAAAGGTGATGTTCATTTATATTCTTTCAGACATGTTTTTCTTTTAAACGAATAACCAGACTGCAACTTGCATCTTTAATATTGGAACTCTGTTTTGGCTGCTGCTGAAGATGGAGTCTGAGCATTTATGGGAATTGTCTAAGTGCTGTGATGTTGATTATTAACTGGCCTCACCTCACATGTTTTTTTTTTTTTGGTTTAATTTTGATTCTTTTTAATTTTTGTTTTTAAAACCGAAAATCATGGTGATGTATTGCGTGTTTTCTTATTTTTTTAAAAACAGGAATTCTTCAATATTGGTTGAATGTCTAACCCCTGACTTTCGAGGTGACCTGGAGGCTGTGTCTGTAGTAGCCGGCTCCGGACTGGATGTCTATGCTCACAATGTGGAAACTGTACAGGACTTGCAGTGGTGTGTATTTAAATATATATTTGTATATTTTGCTTCTTCTTTTCCATTTACTGGTTTTAATTTCTTTTGGCTTTATTATCTTTCTTCAGTTATACATACTCCATTTTCATTTTTAGTTGCTGAACCAGTGTGTTGTTTCTTTTATGATTCCACTTGCTTTTCCTCATCTTTAATTGTTGCTTTGAACTTGTACTCTTCGAAGTCGGAGTGTATCTACTTGAGAGGCAAGAAAGCAGGATTGAGTTGAGTCAAAAATTGACATAACAGCACTGTGGGCATTCCTATTTATGCTCCGTCCTCATCTTTAGCAGCCAGCGCAGAGTTCCAGTACTGATGGTACTGGTCACAATCTGGTTATATGGCCGTCTTGCCTTTCCTCTGAGTGTAGTGAACTGGCCAGACCCTCTGGTTACATCTAGATTCATCATTCTCTCAAGGCCATAAAAATCTTCTATCTCTACTGATTCCGTTGCTTGTTCTCAAAGGGCCTTGACCATATCTGCTTTGTCATGTATCAATTCATCACTGTGTGATGGAGATCCGGCCAGTCTGTCTGCCTGTTCATTACCCACCACGCTGGCATGACCTGGTGAAAAGATCCAAAGTATGCTCACTGCCCGTGACCTTTCCAGTGAAGCTTGCCACTCTGCTTGAAGCATCCCTGTCTTCACCTTTCTCAGCATGCTTTCAGAGTCTGTTACAATTACAGCATGTGTATGCATCTTGTTCTCTAGCCACCGGAGAGCTACAGTTACCGCCTCCACATCCATTCTTATATTTGCTCCATTCCTATACCAGCAAAAACCACAGAGAATGTCCACCACTGTCCCTTGTGAAAAGATTGACATAGATTGCAGTCTCAGCAAAGCCAATATCATACACACATCAGATGCATAAAGCAGCCATCAGAAGTGGCAGCACAAACAGTTTGGCACTAGAAATGCAGTTCATCATTAATGGAAGCAGCAGTTACAATAAATCAGTAGTTGCACATACAGTTAATCACATAAAGCACAGCCAGTTCTCTGCCACATTGGGCACAGTAGAAAAGTATTCCAAATGAAATTCACAGCTCACAGTGTTGCACCATGCACTCAACTCAGTGCATCTGTCGAGAATGCATTATTACTTTTTATGTTATCAATCAACAGGCTGGTTAGAGACCCCCGTGCCAACTACCAACAGTCACTGTCTGTCCTGACACACGTCAAAGCTGTACACCCACAGATGGTCACCAAGACTTCAATAATGCTGGGGCTAGGTGAAACAGACGAACAGATCATGAAAACTCTAGAAGGTGAGCCTTTTAACAGTTCATCATCCAATAAACATTTTGAATGGAAAGCTTGTTAACCCTTTGGAGACTGAGCCTTTTTTTAGGGTTTCCGTGCCAAGAAGACGGAGCCCTCAGGAGGGGATTCTCATAGTTTACACACACACATTTTTTTTTTTTTAAAGCATTTAATTTTCATATACAAAACTATATATATTTCTGTAGGAAATTGAATGAACTAACAGAATATTTATGAATCAAACTGAAATCTCAACATTTGTTCAAAATAACTATTCTTATGTGCATAATTTATGCAGAAAATTTTTATGAAACTTGAAAGCAAACATAACTGACCTGAAAAATTTGGGTGAATTTTTTAATGGTTGAAGCTTGAATAAGTCCTAACACCTGTATTTTGGGAAGTAAGACCCTTGGAGGCCCTTCAGACACGTCTGGCACATAGTTCTACTCATTCTCCTGCCTCCAGACATGTTTCAGTTGCTATGATACAATAGTTCTTTTCGCCATTTTTTCGGCATAGGTAACCCCAGAAAGAAATCGATGTTTAATCACAGAACCCATCAAACTTTCTTGAAAGCTGTCAGTGAACAGCCACATGTGCAAGAAATGCGAGAAGCAGTCTGATTGGCTGGTGTAAAAGCCTGCCAGCCAATATCAAGGCTTTTATTTCACAGGGTCGACCGTTCGGCCCAGCCGTCCTTCTAGCTACTTTGCATTGGGCCGATATTTCGGCCGCGTCGTCTCCAGAATGTTAAAGGGTAATGGCCAGTGAGTACCTGGCAGAGTCTGATTATTAAAATTTACCAACCATTGAAAACATTGTATACTGAAATTGCCAATATTTGCAACATTCAGTTTTCATTGACATAATTCAAGATTGATTTATAATTTGTTTCTTGGTGTTTTTGTTACAGATCTGCGTAACATTGATGTTGACTGTGTTACTCTGGGTCAGTATATGCAACCCACAAAGAGGCACTTAAAGGTAAGGTTTTGACATGGTTTAAATGCCATGTCATTGTTTAAATACCACATCAGGGTTTTAACATGGTTTCAAGAACCTCATCAAACTTGTCTACCAGTCTAGTGGTTATAGTTTTGAATCTTCATTGAGGTCGATATTAAAACTTGAGCTGGGTTTTCAGCCAATGCCTGTGTTGTGAACACGCTTTATAATAATGCCAAAATACCTGATTCAATTCCAGCTTCATGCGCTTTGGCTGTTTACCCGTTATGCTTGAAGATGAGAAACCAAAACTTTTACTGAAATGTATCACATCCAGCTTCTGTAGCTAATGCCGAATCATGTTCCGGAGTTTTCTGTTTCTGTTAAAACAATGGATTAACATTACATGGCACAAGGGTGGTAACCTATAAGTGCTCCGTTCTAATTCTAACTCAAGCCTGAATTCAGAGATTCTCAGCTCAGTGCATGAACTCTATAGCACCGGTGAGGATCCTGAAATACTTTGGGTAGATTTAAAACTGCAAATTTTTGCCCGGGCAGCCCCATTCTCTTTTCGATTTCCAGGGGATTTTTTTTCCAGCTGCATGGGATTTTTTTATGTGCACATCGATACACATGGGCGTCCAGTCTTATTATTCAAGCCGATCCTGCAAGAATGCCCAGAATGTCGCAAGTAGAAAGTAGACACTGGCAGGCCCGGCTCTTTAGTGTAGTTGGCTAAACCAGATTGCGCGGAGACCGGGTGATAAACTCCTTGTGGTTCCGGTTCAATCTCGGGGGTAGGCAGGAAAGCCACATTTTCTCCCAGATTTACTGTATTTACAATGGAATCAAGGCCGAAAGGTTGCGATATCCATAATACCGAGCCTAAGGGTTAACAACTCATGGCTTCTGGATACTAAAACAAACAAACAAACAACAGACACTGGCAGGCAGGAGCGAACCTTAGCACAAATTGTGGAGTGGCAAGTGAAGTGTTCTTTGGTCATTTGAAGAGAGAAGAGGCATTGGAGATAATTAATTGTAGGGAAAATAACCTGTTGGGTAACAACATACTTTTGTTAATGCAATTTTGAGAGCAATGAGTGACGTTAAACCCTACTACAATGAGTGACGTTAAACCCTACTACAATGAGTGACAATCACTCAGTGACCCAAAATGCCACCATTTGGATAAGTCCCCCTAACACAAGTCCTAGAAACCTCATTATACCGTTAGTTTATTTTAGGGTTCCAGACGACAGCCATGGTGGGGCTTTGAAATAACAGAAAAATGGACTTCCCTTATTGGGGTGAAGTTAATTTTCTTGAGAGGAGTGGCTGGCTGATTGATTAGAATGCTGGTTGTCATGTGGAGGACCTCGGTTTTGGTTTCTCACTATGACGGTGGAAAGGGGGAGTTGGGGTGATAGACATTCTAACCTGCACTGTTAATGGCGGCTGCTCTAGCTATACTGTCGTAAATTCTCATCTCAGAAGTCTGGCACCTCCACCTCCCTTCTGGTCCTATTACACCACAAAAAAGGGGAACTACAGGCAGTTAATACGGACTTAAAAAAACAAATCCTTTTAAAAATAACAGTTGCCTTGTTGAATGGTGTTTTTTGTTTTGCAGGTCAAAGAGTATGTACACCCTGATAAGTTCAAGTACTGGGAAGAGATTGGGCAGAAGCTGGGCTTTGCTTACACAGCCAGTGGCCCTCTGGTCAGGTCTTCTTACAAAGCTGGTAAATATCCTCTTCATCCTGTTGTGCTAATATAAGTCACATGGGGTTCACAGCGTAGTCCTCTGTTCTATTTATCCTGTGCAGTCATTTTCTTCTTTTTCTTTTTCTTCTTCTTCTTCTTCTTCTTCTTCTTCTTCTTCTTCTTCTTCTTCTTCTTCTTCTTCTTCTTCTTCACGTTCACCGGTTGTAAACTCTGGCAGAAAGTTCTGGTTGTTCATCTGCTTCTGGACTCTAGCCCTGTTCCAAAACTTGAGTTTTGCGTACACATCAGTTTTACAGATCTGGCTTATTTGTAAGCAGACTGTTGGTGCCTGGCCTCTCAGGCAGATGCACTTTGACTTTGAAGGAAACACCCCACATCCTGTGGAGCAGTGAGGTATCTACTTGACTTTCCAACAATGAACCAAAGGATCAGGATGTGGAGGGCTCGGGCATACCTCAAAATATGTGCTGATAAGAAAAACCCACTGCATCAAGCGCTTTTTAGTGAAAAGGGCAACAGACTGAAGAGGGGAAAATCGTGACTAGGTCGGGCAGAAGATGTTATTAGGCAAATATGCAGCCTAACCGACATCATACCTGGTGCAGAATGGATACCTGTGCCTCAGGCGTTTATTTGTACATTTTCCTGTATTGTCACACTCAACAGGCGATGTAGAGAAGAGAATCCTGTTGCTGTTAATGCAGAGGTCAACGCTCTCATCGGTGAAAATTCAGACGAAGCAGATGCACTAATCTATACAGACGGATCCGTTATACGCCAAAGAAGAAGCGCATGGGCATTTACAGCACGCTCAGCGGGCAGAACAGTCAAAGAAGCCAACGGCGCCTTCTCCATGACAACCAGCAGCATGACGATGGAGGTGATGGCAGTGACACAAGCGCTTGCCTGGCTTGAAACACAAAAATACACCCGCATATGTATACTCAGTGATTCAATGAGGATGATCCGGAGGGTTCCGGCAGGTTCAGTGCAAAGACAATGGCTTGAATCAATTCAGAAGTCCACTGTGCGAGGAGTCACCTTTATTTTTGTTCCGGGACAGGCAGGCGTCGATGGAAATGAAAGAGCTGACAGGTTGGCTGGATCCGCTATCACTACCGACTGTCAGCCTATGGATCATGCTGATATTATCAATGCCCTCAGAGAAATGGGAAGGATAGAGGACTTTGGTGGCAGTGAATCCACATCACTCGCCAGAATGGCAGACTTGGGAATTAAGATCGGCACAGCAAAAAACGAGACGCACACCGGACACGTCAGAAGACTTGTTAATCAACATAGAACTGGTACTATTAGCCATCGGACATTGGGGCTCATACTGAGGGGAGGATCTGAGCACCTATGGACATGTCCGGAGTGCAATGATGATAACCCAACTAACTAACTAACCCCAAATTAGTCGACTTTTACAATATGCTCATTACGGGAGCAGTGGGTCTATTCTTTATTTCCTTAAAGTGGGCCCTGGAACCCACACAGGGGGTGCAGCCAAATTCATATCATACATGGAGACCAGTCCAACCCTTTTGGCCTCTCTCAGCAATGATTGTCTTTGGGTTTCACTTGGACATCCTTGTTTCCTCAGTCCTATGATATATATATAAAATAAACAAACAGACAATGTATTGATCAGCACTCATAAAAAGAAGTAGAAAGATAGAACAGGTATCTGAGTTTAAATATCTTGGGACAACATTCACTGAAGATGTTAAATTGGATGAAGAAATTGACATCTGATTTAGTAAAGCTGGCCAAATATGGGGACAGCTAGCTCTTCCTCTGACAGCATAAGGCAATCCCAATCAGCACAAAGAGACATTTCATACACAGCATATTTATTCCCACCCTATGCTACCAGTGCCAGACATAGTCACTTACAACAAGACATAAAAGAAAATTTGTAACTATGGAAACGAGGTGTCTGAGAAAGACTGTATGAGTGACCAGAAGAGATTAAATCAGAAATGAGGTCATACGAGATAAAGTTGGCACAGAACCAATTCTAAATTACATTCAGAGACAGCAAATCAAATTGTTTGCCCACTCGGAGAGAATGCCTACTGATGCTATACCGTACAAGGCATATACCAAAAAGAGGAGACATGCTTAGAGCAAGAGGTTGACCAAAAATAAGATGGGATGATAAGATCAGAGAAACTCTGTTGCACCACAATGTGTCTATGGTCGAAGCAGCCAGAAGAGCACGAAGCAGGATCTCATATCTTCCTCGACACCAGAAGCAGTAAAAGAGGATGTAAAGAAGAAAAAGAAAAAAAAAGAAGTTACAATTTTTGTTATGTATTCTTTTTCTTTCTTTAGTGAACAACAGTGGCGACTGCTCAAAAGAAGTCAGAAGAAAACTTGCATTAGCAATGCAGAGATTAAATAGCATAAATAACCTATGGCAAAGCACTGGTAAATTGGTTAAAGTAAAAATCTTGAGGTCATGCATTTTTCCTGTGGCAACCTACGATTGTTAGTCCTGGACTCTCACTCAGTCACTGAGGAAAAAGATTGGAGCTTTTGAAATGAAATGTTATAGAAAAATTCTTAGAATACCATGGATCAGGAAGAGGAAAAACAACAACATTCCTAACGAGTTGAACGTCAGGGAGAACTGGCTCATAAACAGCATCCTGTCCCGAAAGTTGAAGTATTTTGGCCACATCAAGCGTCATGGTGGCTTGGAAAAGACGGTGATGGAAGGTGCAGTTTGTGGAAGGTGAGGCAGGGGTCGACCACCCCGAAGATGGATACAAGACATTGAAGATGCATTGAAAGCACATGGGGCTGGAGAGCTGGCTAGGGAAAGGGGTACTTTCAGACGTGCCGTGAAGAGAGCGACGTTCTCTAAAGGACTTGCTGATTGATGATGATGATTCTTTTTCTTCTTCTCCTACTTTCTCCCTGTCTTCTGTAAAACAAAACATTTGTCATGCGATTGGATATAGTGTGTATATGGTGCCAGCAGCTTTAGAGTATTCAGCCTTTCTTGGAGTATGTGGGAAGTCTTGGAGCCCGAGGATTGAGGCCCATATGGCTAGGGCTGATGCCATGGATTGTGTAAGTTAGGTTCACATTTTTGTGTGTTTTGTTTTTGTTCACTTAATTATAATGGGAAAAAAATTCCACATTCTTACCAGGGATTTGAACCTGGATCTCTCAGGACTGGTAATCATTCAGCCAGCTGCTCCTCTGTTGAATGAAAGACATAATTAAAAAGAAGACTGACAATAGACTTTCTTTTCCCATGTCTGCTGCTTAGTCAGGTTTAATCCTTACATTACAGTTTATGCAGTATTTTTTGTTGTTTTTGTTTTGTTTCAGGGGAATTTTTCCTGAAGAATCTTTTAGAGAAGAGAAAATCCAAAGGAAACTCATAAACCAGAGAAAGTTAACCAACAAGTTCATAGCATAAAGCTGTAGAGATTTGTGATTACAGTGTTGATATTTGTTCTTGTTTCTATGTCATATTCTTAACTCTTTGAGCCTCAAACAACACATGATGTGTGAATCACTCTCTCGGCTAAATCCCATCCCTGGCTTAATATCTTCTCTCACTTCTTGTATTTGATCAGAACATACTCAAGAAATCTGGCTTATCCATTGTCTCTACTACTATATTACTATTTTGAAAGTAATTCATTGATCACATTTAATCATGGATGTGTCTTCACTGGCATCTTCCACAAAACCTTCTTCTGGTACTAAAAGAGTTAAGGTGTAATTCTTGTTCTAATTGTTCCTTTTTTATTATAGTAGCAAAGAAGTACCTTTCGTTTGCTCTTGTGATCGCTTAATACAACACATACTTAGAAGAAAGGTCATGTTTAAAGATTGTTGTGGTGTTGAAAGGTATAGTGCAGCATGATGCATACACGTGCGTACATTTTCTGAACTTAGTGCAACATATTACATGCGATCTTTGCACTTGACGCAACATAGTTCATACAACTTCTGCACTTAATGCAAAATGGTATGCACATTCATTGCAACTGATGAAGCATGGTATATACAAAAATAATGTACGAGCGGTGCAAGCAATGCACCAACACATGTGGAAAGAAGCATGGGCAGTGCAGATATCATCAACACTGTACAGACTTGGTTAGTGAATAATGATGAATCCCTGACGCCAATGCGATTGCATGACCTGGGTGTAAAGCATGGTGAAGCGCGTCTATGCTGTCTTCAACGCTGAGATAGGAGATATCGTAACTAACTCCTCATGGAAACAATCAGTAGAGGTATATTAGAGTGGCTGCTGCATCTGAGGACTGATAGTGCATGAGAATGCCCAGGGTGCAGTAATGTTGATTGTGATAACGTAACATAACATATATGTACAGCATCCCTTCCTCCTAGTACTGTTATAATAATTCACTTTCACAGTTCCAACATGTGGATTTAGAACTATATTGCAGTAGATTAGACAGTAAACACAGGGCTCGTAGCGGGCCTGGACACCTGAAAGAACCCCTGAACGATATATTGCAGATGACTTTACAGTGTTTTTTGACAATTATTACACATTTTTCGTTCAGGGAGCTATGGCAAACTACTGAATGTAAAACTACAAACAGTCAACAAATGCGGGGGTTGGTTTGTGGAAAGGGATGGTTTTTACAAGTACTTCTTCATTTTCTTCTTCTGCTGCTGCTGCTTCTTTTTCTTCTTGTTCTTTTTCTTCTTCTTGTTCTTCTTCTTCTTTTACTTCTTCTTCCTCCTCCTACTCCTCCTCCTCCTCTAGTCCTGTTCTGCCTTTCAGTATCAGCTTTTGAATAAGCATAGGCTGCGAGCCTTGGTAGGTCCTACATAGATGCTGGTATTTATTGCCTTGGCTATTTCATCTATCCATCACTTGCATGGATGACCTCTAGCTTTGCTTCCATAATGTCTGGCTCTCTGTGGTGCACTGTCTGCTGGTAGTCTTGAAACAGGTCCAAACCATTTGAAATTTTGTCTCTTGCTATAGTTTAGTAATGGTTTCATATCAACTTCTTTCCTGATATTGTCATTTCTAATTCTGTCTCTTCTACTTACATTGAGAGTTTTTCGTAGGCATTTCATTTCTGTTGTTTATATTTTTTTTCTTTTTTTTCTTTTATTGTGTCTATGTTTAGCACTGGTAACACAATGTTGTTAAAAAATACTGTATTGATAATAATACTCTTTTGGTGTCAGTTGTTACATGTTAGTTCTGCAAAGTTTGTGACATCTGTCCTGTAATTTACAAAAATAAACAGGCCGTAGAAATATTATATATACAATAAACAGACAAGGTATTGATCAGCACTCTTAGAAAGATAGAAAGACACACTAGACAGCATAAAAATCAAATGACGGTATTTGAACCTGTTACCTCCAAATGGCGTGTGCACCTCACTATGGAAACAAATGTACTAAGAACATGACCAACTAGACCACCCATAAAAAAGTATGTTCATTTGCTATCTCTGTTGTACAGCTTGAAATCCACAACTATGGAAAAAGGACAGAATTCATGTCCAACCATTGAAATGGCACTATAGGCCACAGAAATGTATATTAACCAAGCATAAGTTGAATAACAAACAGAAAAAATTTACAAACACCGCAGACCGTAATGCTTTGTCTAGAATACGCGAACATTTATTAAGAAAGAGATTTGATTGGTAGGGTCCATTGTGTAGACGTCATTCACATAAATAAACACAGGGAACCCTTGAGGCGGTAGAAATATATATATATATATAATAAACAGACAATGTATTGATCGGCACTCATAGAAAGAAGTAAAAAAAATAAAAGGACACGCTAGACAACATAAAAATCAATTATAGCTTTTGATTTTTATGTTATCTAGTGCGTCCTATCTTTCTACTTCTTTCTATGAGTGCAAATCAATACATTGTCTGTAAATTACAAGTTCTATGTCTTTTAATGTTACTGAACTACATAGCATGCATAGTGTATATAATTCAGAGTGTACAGAATAACATTCATTAGATTGTGTTGGTAAGATCAGTTCAGGAAGATTTGTAACTGTGATAATAAAAATGCAAAACTGAAGTTATTGTTTTTGCTGTTTTGCTTCAATGAATGTTTAACAGATGTTTTTGTATTTGATGTAGAGTATAAGGCATGCACTACCAGGCACAGTTAAAACATGGAACACTTTTTACACAACACTGTAAAACATAGAATATTTACTATATATCACCGTAAAACATGGAGTTTTACTTTGTGACACAGGAAAACATGTAACATTTATTACTTGGCACAGTATGTCGTGGAACATTTACTACATGGTACAGTATGACATGGAACATTTATTACATGGCACAGTATGTCGTGGAACATTTACTACATGGTACAGCAAAATATGTAATACTTTTACAGGACACTGTAAAACATGGAATATTTACTGCATGTCACAGTGAAACATGGAATATTACTACTTGGCACAGTAAACAAAATGTTTACTACATAGCACACAAAAAAACATGGAACATTTATTACATAGCACAGTATGACATGGAACATTTACTACATGGTACAGTTAAACATGGAACATTTACTACATGGCACAGCACAACATAGAACATTTACTACATAGTACAGTACAACATAGAACATTTTCTGCATGGTACAATAAACTGTGGAACATTTACTACACAGCACAGTAAAAACATGGAACATTTATATGTGGCACAGTTCAACATGGAACGTTTACTACATGGCACAGTACAACATGTAACATTTACTACATGGCACAGTATGACATGGAACATTTACTACATGGTACAGTATGACATGGAACATTTATTACAGAGCACAGTAAAACATGTAACATTTAACTACATGGCACAGTATGACATGGAACATTTACTGCATGGTACAGTATGACATCTTACATTTACTACATGGTACAGTATGACATGGAACATTTACTACCTGGTATAGTATGACATAGAACACTTACTACACAGCACAGTAAAACATGTAACATTTAACTACATGGCACAATAAAACATGGAACATTTAACTACACGGCACAGTAAAACATGGAACATTTACTACATGACACCATACGAAAAATGGATCATTTACCACATGGTTCAGTAAAAAATTGGGAATGTTGTAGCACAGTGCCTGGCACTCTCGAATGTTACCCTGGCTGTCATGTATTTGAATCCCCATCAAGACATATATGTAAAAAAAATAAAAATTGATTTGGGCTGCCCAGTTGAGCCCATAATTGAAAAAAAAAAAAAAGTGGGGAAAGCAAAGTGTTCATTAAAATACAAATTTGAACATCTTTTAACAACAATGGAAAGACAGCCCATGCAATGGTACGGACCTGTAAAAAAATCTACCGCCTCCCCAAAAGATCTCTGTAGAGGGGAGGATGTGAAAACGCAGATCAAGATAAACTTTGTTTTAGAATTTGGTAGACTGGACTTGAGTCAAACATGCCAATGTCTAGTCCACTGCAGCTGACCAACAGAGCTGAGGGGAGCCGATCAGACAGTAAACACAGGGCTCGTATCAGGCCTTGAAACCTGGAAAAACCCTTGAACAATATATCGCAACCTCAAGGTCTTAAAAAGCCCTGAAAAAAAAAAAAAGGATGGAAGTTCTTGAAATTTGCTGATGACAATGAGAAAGCAAAAAATAAAACCAGAAAAAAATGGAAGAAATGTAATTTACAGCTAGCATCACAGTGACTGGTGACCCAATGACAAACTGTGCTATGGGACTATGACAAAGATATGCAGCTGGAACACAGGCTAATAGAATAGTGCTTCATGACAAGTAAACACAACCTGAAAGGTACTGTAGTGTACAGTGATACAAAAAGACAGTTATGTCTGATATATAGTGCAAGGTACAGAAAACAACATATTTTCTGCACATGGTTTTTACAAATGCTTGATTAAAATTGTTTTATACAACAAAAATACCCAGACACAGATCAGACAATGTGTTCAGATCTTTTATTCAAATGTTTATTGTACAGAACATAAGCAGAATGGATGATGTATGGAAAATATTTGTTTAGATGGAACGGATACAGTACATAGACATAGAAAATTTGTTTGATTAATTCTCCATTTTAGAGTACACTTACAGAAAAGATAAAGTGGGCAAATCCTTTATTCACACATATATTGTACAGTACCCACACATAGAACACATGATGTTTACAGGTGTTATATTGTACAGTACCCACACATAGAACACATGATGTTTACAGGTGTTATATTGTACAGTACCCACACATAGAACACATGATGTTTACAGGTGTTATATTGTACAGTACCCACACATAGAACACATGATGTTTACAGGTGTTATATTGTACAGTACCCACACATAGAACACATGATGTTTACAGGTG